TTGAATCAACTGAGAATAGTTTTGTGCTCTCATGAGCTTTGAATTTTCACTTTCTGACTTGTGGACAATTCACTTATATATAGCTCTTACACATTGTAAGGTTCTCTACTTAACTCCTCCTCAATGTATTGTCTGCATAAGAATCTCACAGAAAGTGTTGTTATAGCCCAGAATCTAGAATCCAGAATCCTGGGTCACATCCTCAGAGATTTCTGCTTCAGTTGGTGAGAGCTGCTACTATTGATTTTGAATTTCTGTTAAATTCCTAGGAAATGCTCACACGGGTCTAAGGACTTAACATTTTTAGGAACATTTCTAATGATTACTTTGCCTCAAAGGAGCTATTTCACAATTTTGCCTCTTTTCACATTCTCTCTTTACTTTCAGTTGGTAATTTTTATAATTTTCTATAATTCTTTTATTGATAATGCTTTCTTATGTTTTCTCTTCCTACATTTTGTGTATCTTTCCTGTAAGACCATCTCCTTCTCTTAATCAGTTTCTATCATTTTTCTCTTGACGTTTGGTTTTGTGTCTTGGATTAACAACTTCCCCTTTTATTGTAAATTAACTTTTCCCCTCGACTGCTAGACATAATATGATCGAATAATAAACCCTTTTAGTCAAAATTAGGTTGATCCCAGTTCTCTCTGTCTTCCTTCTGCTAATCTTTTTTTTTGGGAACAAAAGTAATGAGTAAGCTCCTTCAGCAGATAGATGTATTTTAATTTAAGCTCCTTCAGCAGATAGATGTATTTTAATTTAAGCTCCTTCAGCAGATAGATGTATTTTAATTTCTTAAAATTTGTTTTGAATTCTAACGTTTTATTGGGCTCCTGGATTTACAGGTCACATGACTCCTACATCTTTATTGTATAGGTCTCTTTTAGCCTCAGCAGTATTTCCTACTATTTTTTCCCTTTTAAGTTTTCTACTTTTGTTTTTTAGTCTTTGCTTTATAAGGCCCTATTGACTACTTCTGTTATTGGGCACATAATCCCCTTTAATCTCTTTCTCGTTTTCTTGAAACTTTGAATGCTTTTTCCTTCATCCAAATCTTTTGTCCAGTGTGGGAGTCTCTAGCTGCATATTCCCATGGATCACTTGAGATATGACCAGCTCAAACTGAGATGTTCTGTAGTATAAAATACACACTGAATTTTAAGATTTAGAATGAAAAAAAGAATGTAAAATATCTCACTACATTTTAAAATATTGATTGCATGTTGGGCTGGGGTTGTGGCTTAGTGGTAGAGCGTTTGCCTAGCATGTGTGAGGCACTGGGTTCAGCACCACTTTAAAAATAAACAAAATAGGGGCTGGGGTTGTGGCTCAGCAGTAGAGCACTCGCTTCGCATGTGTAAGACTCTGGGTTCGATCCTCAGACCACATGAAAAAATAAACAAACAAAATAGGGATATTGTGCCCATGTATAACTAAAAAAACAAAAAAACAAAAAACAAAAAACAAAATAAAGTTACTAAAAAAATAGAAAATAAAAAAATTAAAAATGGATTGCATGTTGATAATACTATGGACATATTTAGTTTGGGTTAAGTTAAAAAATTGCTAAAGTTAACTTCACCTATTTCCTTAAATATGGCTATAATATATAACTCAAATATATTTCTATTAGTCAATATTGATCTAACTTTCATCTTTCCTTAAAGACCCAGATCAGTTGTTTTTTAATCTACTAATACATATTTCCTTCTGAATTACAGCATCAGCCTTTTTGAACCTTCTCTCACAAACCTCATTTAGATATTAAACTTCCTCAGAGCCAGGGTGATCCTCCATAGTGCCTATCGTATAGTAGTTGTGTGTATTTCTGAAAAAGTAAGTTAGCCAATATTACCACTTTATAAAAGAAGATACCGAGCTTACTTGCCTGTTGTAATGTTTTTCTTAAGTTGGTGGGTGAGGTTGATATGAAGGGGAGAGGAGAGGCATTACTTTGAGCTGTTAAAATCTGACATGTTCTTCCCATAAGTTCATCTAGCCACCTCAGACTACTATGATAGTTTTGAACTGTGCTTTGATTTTACTGCCATCTGGTGTTGGGATTAGGCAACTGTAGTTCAGTATTCATCTTTTCAATGGAAGAAGATAGGCAGTCTTTCCTAATGTGGACCTGTTCTCCTCTATCCTCTAAGTAAGCTATCAGTAAGAACTCATTTAGGGGCTGGGGTTGTAAGTTAGTGGTAGAGTGCTTGCCTAGCATGTGTGAGAAACTGGGTTCAATTCTCAGTACCACTATAAATAAATAAAACAAAGGTTCATCAACAACTAAAAGATTTTTTTTTTAAAAAAAGAAGTTAATTTAATTTCAATTTAGAAAATATTTATTCTCCTTATTGGAATGCTGTTTCCTTGACTTCACAGATAATATACTCTCTTCCTCTGTGTGTGTGTGTGTGTGTGTGTGTGTGTGTATGTATGTATGTGTATGTATTTTTCTGGCTGTTCTCTCATTTGGCAGCCCATTTCTGTTTTTTTAATTTTTTATTCTTTTAGTTGTCAGTTATATGCGGTGCTGAGAATCTAACCCCAGTGCCTCACACATGCTAGGCAAACACTCTACCACTAAGTCACAACCCCAGTCCCCCATTTCTCTCTTTGTGTTATAGCTTTTAAACCATACATTCTGGCACTCTGCTTTTTTTATTCCTTGTTTTCATCTGTATCCATGGGTTTACTGTCTGTTTACAGGGAAATTTACATTGAGAACCAGAAATATCTTCTGAACTTCAGGTCATTGTCTCTAGTTGCTTGCCTAGATGTTATTTGATCACCTCAAACTTAATATGCTCCTATCTCAATGTGATTCTCACCCCATCTTCATTTCTCAGATCAGTTTTTCTTGTTAATCTATCATACTAGAATTCTGGGAATCAGATTGACATTCCCCATCCATCTTTCACACTCATTTGTCAAATTTTCATCACATGTTAAGTCTAAAAGGTATGTTCTTGTGGGTGTAAAATTTATGACCCCATTATTTCATCTAGGTTACTATTGTTTATTCCTTGGACTAAACATACTCCTAATTAGTTTCACTACATCCATTCTTGACTGTATTCACCTGTTTTATGTATATTTAATGTCGTTTTCTCTTAGCCTGAGAGTTCTGTGATGCAGGGACTGTGTGCATTTGGCTTCTCTTTGAATCACTAGCAACTGATAGAGTTCCAAAAATCTGTAGGTTTATTTGTCAATTAACGTGGTTGTGTCTTGGATTATCAATTTCCCCCTTTATTGTAAATTAGCTTTTCCCCTTGACCTCCAGATATGATCAAATAAATAATAAACCCTTTCAGTCAAAGTAAGGTCAATCCCAGTTCCCCCTCTTTCTTTATTTTTTTTCCTAGGGAAACTTAATTGTGTCTATAGAGGCAGTATATTTTTTGTGTTAATTAGCTAGTATTCAGATAACCCTAGGACAACAACCTACTTATGTGTGGCCATTAATTAATATACTGAAATTATTTTCAGAGTATTTAAAATTCAGTGTGATGAGGTTGGGAATTAGCTCGGTGATAGAGTGCTTGTGTAATATGTATACAAGGCTCTGGGTTCAATTTCTAGGACTGTGCCCCCTGCAAAAATAATATCCGTGCCATTGGTTTGTCTCTTAGCATTCTTCTGTCTGAAATTTAATAATTTTTAATTTTAATATGGAAGTATATTTGTTAAATCATCAATTAATTAAACCCATTTGTTCTTGATAGGTTTGCTTAATAATTTTGGTTAGCTTCAACATTTTAAAGATGCTTTTTGCTTATAAATTTTTCCTAGTGGGGCTTGCTTATTCATTTGAGTTGATGATATTGCTCAATAAAAAATTTAACTTATGAAAGTAAAGATGATTTATAAAAAGTAGGTATTTAAAGATGGGCAACAATTTGTAAACTAAGGACACAAACTCAGTATTTAATAGGTACATACCAGGTTTTTTTGGTGTGTGTGTGTGTGTTGGGTAGTCCTGAGCATTGTAGTATTTTGGTAGCATTGTTGGCACCTACCAGCATGATCGCATCTCACCCCTTATGATAACCAAAAGCCTTCTAGACATTGCCAGATTGCAGGGGCAGGGGGCAGTGATATACACAAATCATGTATCTCTTCATCTTTTTTGATATTGGAGATATAACCCAGGGTGCTTTACCAATGAGGTACATCCCTAGCTCTTTTTTTTTTTTTGGTAATTTTGAGATTCACTGAGTTGCTTAGGGTTTTGCTAGGTTGCTAAGGCTGGCCTTGATTGGGATCCTCCTGTCTCAGCTTCCTGAATTGCTGAGATTACAGGTATGCACCATTGTGCCCCACCTGTGATATCTCTTCTCTGAAATGCTTGAGACTAGAAGTATTCAGATTTTTCCTGTCTCAGCCTCCTGAGCTGCTTGGATTACAGGTGTTCACTATTGCACCTGACCTCTGTATCTCTTCTCTGAAATACTTAGGACCAGAAATATTCAGACTTCAAAAGGTTTCAAAATTTGGAGCTTTTGGGATTAGGGATGCTCATGCTCTACCTGAGCATTCCCAATACTTAGAAAGGAATAAATAACATGTCATGGAATGTTTCACTAGGAAAATCTTTGGTATTGCTAGGTGCCTTTGGAATTGTAGTAACTGTGTGGTTTATTGTTAAAGGCAAGAAAAATAGTTTATATAACTCTGTTTTTCACATTTTAGAATTTGTGTTTGCTTAGAATAAAGTAACTTTTGTACTTGACCATCTGGCTTTTACTTAATTGAAAAAGTGGTGCATTCTAAATCATATTTAACTGATAGTTTCATTTTGTTAACTGACTTCGGCAGTTAGGTTTTGGTAGAACAAGGAACCAAGATTACAATATAAAGAGTAGCTTGTAATTAGAGCTTTTGCCATTTATGTGTGTGTGTGTGTGTGTGTCTGCGTGTGTGCACGCATGCAGTCCTGTGTATGTATATGGAATAGAGGATATAATTATCTTTTCTTATTTTTTTCTTCAAAGGGACATGAGAGATGGCTTTAGAAGAAAAAGTTTCTACTCTTCCCATTATGCGAGAGACCGGTCTCCCCATAAAAGGGATGCTCCTTATTTTAGAGAATCGCCTGTAGGTCGAAAGGACTCTCCACACAGCAGATCTGGCTCCAGTGTCAGTAGTAGAAGTTACTCTCCAGAACGAAGCAAAACATATTCTTTCCATCAGTCTCAACATAGAAGTATGTATTTTATATGAATCCTTTTCCTTTCACAGTTTCCACTGATGGAAGTGTACTAAGACAAATTGCCTCATAGGTGTTATAACTTTAATTTGAAAAAATCTAAAATTTATAGGGAACTTTAAAGAATAGTATAATGAATACTAAATACATGGGTTTTCCCAACTCTTTGAAGTTGGGGTCTGCTTAACCTTTCACCTTCAAATTTAGTGCAGAAGTATATTCTAACTGGTTGTAAGCCAAGAGAGGGAAATCAAAAAAAGTCCAGAATATTTCTTTTACTTTTAAACTTCCTTCCTATTTAGTGTCTTTTTCAAATAATAAGAATTTTAATTCGTTAGCCTCTGCCTCCTGCATGATGAGAGTGATGGAGAACTACCTGTCATCATCACATTGTTTTCTCTTGTAGCTGTTGCCTGGATCTGTGTTGAGCAAACATTTATCTGTTATTCCTTAATTTGTAGAGCTAGGCAGAGTGAGGCTTTCTAAAAAACATGTTTTTGATTATAGGTAGGTGTATGAATGATGGTGTGATGGTGTAAGACTTAAGAATATCATTGGAAAGCTCTCAAACCAAACCAAAACAAAAACATAGCAACTCTGTGCTTGATAGCTTAATATAATATGCTTGAGACACTTCTGGGAAACTGGAAGTTCTGTGGAGCTTAATGTTAATGAGTGTTTTCTCCTTTGCTTTTCTCTCTCCCACTTCCATATTAAAAACCCCAAACAAAAGCAAAAAGCCTTCAAGATAACAACCTCTAAACTTAGTGAGTGCTTTCATGCGCAGACATATGGTAAATTAGCCAGATGCCTTTTAAGTATTTGTTTTCTGAATATGTATGACTTAAGTCAAGATCAATTAATGATTTGATTGAGAGGAAGAAAGTATCTATGGAAACTAATAATGAAGACTTTTTAACAAAACATAAAATATTAAAACAGAAACTTGAGATTCTTATTTGATAGCTTATAGTGAAGCTGTTAAAAGTAGAATTGGTGAATTAGCCTTGTTTTTTTTTTTTTTTTTTTAATATCCTTTAAAACAGAAATTTCTGGGAGACCATTTTTTTTTTTCTGTTTTTGTGCACTTGGCTGCTTTGTGACCAAAACTCTATAAAGTCTTAAGATGAAGTATGCATGAGACATAATGTGATATTCCTCTCTCAGGATCTCCAGTATACTGTTCCCATCTTTTGAGGTTCAATATCTTTAGTATGTGGAATGGTGGAAAGATTGGGGGACCCAAGATATGGAGTAAACTGAAATATAAATATAAATGACTTTGCTAATTCCGTGTTTGTTTTCATTAATCTTTTAACTTTGAAAGTAAAATTCTTTAATGAAGATAAAATAATTTGTTCTGGGAGAACTCTTACAGGATACTTTGGTTCCTTAACTACTTATGCAATACTAAGAAAGTATTTTCTATATTCCTCTCATGCTTTCAGAATACTTATATAAGATCATCTTATTAAAAAGCCAAGAAGTCTTAAGTTGGAGAAGTCTTGTTTTCAACAGTAAATGGAGAAGTAAATATTACACTTGTGATACTAGTTTTTGTTTTATCTGAACATCACAGATATTAATTGTACCTTGCTTTCCTTCAAAGAAATACCAAGGAATAGGATCGTTCAATTATCACCAGCTTAAGCTAGATTAATTAACAATGTGTTGAAATTCAGTTTGTAATGTAGTTGAAATTGTGGTAAAGATCTTAAATGTTTTTACACATTACAGGTTAAAATAATAAGTTTTAAGGGGCTGAGGATGTGGCTCAAGCGGTAGCGCGCTCGCCTGGCATGCGTGCGGCCCGGGTTCGATCCTCAGCACCACATACAAACAGAGATGTTGTGTCCGCCGAAAACTGAAAAATAAATATTAAAAAAAAAAAAAAAAAAAAAAAGTTTTAAAAATTCCTTATGCCCTCATTTTTTTTAATTCTTTAATTTTAAAATTTTTGCTTTTTGTTTATAACTTTTCAGAGTAATTTAACCTGCTTTAATAATAACTAGTAGTTTGACTGTAGTAACTGTTAAAGGACTAAATCTTCATAAGTCTGACATGCATTTTAACATCTCCTTTTTGTTCTTAGTTATAAGCCACAGAATTATTTAACTGTTTTTCCAACTCAAGTGCCTATTTCTCATTTTGTGTTTATATACACATACAACTAAATTTCTTCTACTTAGCTTTTTAGGTAAATCCTATGGAACTTTGTATTGCTTCAGACTAATTACCCTTCTAAATCAAACTTATTTTCAAACCATACTTCACTAATAAGAACTTGGTTCTTATGTTAGTTAGGCTGACCTGGACATAACTGTGAAAGCAACATTCTTTTTAGTCCTTTTTGTTCATATTCAGATGCTAACAGTGTGTAGACTGTCTTTTAACCTCATTTTCTTTTAACATTTACCTTTTATTTAGCATAGTAGCATTAAAAGCAACATCAGAATTCATTAAATTCAGTCTCTTATACCCATTCTTTTATATATAGTATTTTATTTATTTATGTGGTGCTGAGGATCGAACCCAGTGCCTCACACTTGCTCGGCAAGTGCTTTACCACTCAGCCCCAGCCCCAGCCCCTTTTATACACATTTTTTGTTGAAGTCTTTCTTGTAATATCTCAGTTTGGCCATTCCACCTCTGTATGTAGCTCATTGTTTAGAAAATAATCTTTTCCTCTAACATCTACTTAATACTAGTTATTTTTCTTAAGCCACATATACAAACAAACATTTCTTTTTTGTTGTAACGTTTTACATACTGGAGGAGTACTATCATATCCTTTTATTCCCCAGAGTTGAATTTAGATACTTTTAGAGATCTGTTAACCTCAAGCTTTGATCATCACTGTTTGCTGTTACTCAACCACTTGTGATCCTCCAACTTTACTATTATCTTGTCTTTATTTCCATTTAGGGATCTCATTGGAAGGCCTTATCAGATGCACTCTTGCCAAAATTTTAAGTTGTAAAGCATTTCCTCAATCAAACAGTGACATAAAGATTGTGTTGCTTTGTTTTTATAAATCCATTGTGGCTTGCAGGAACTTACAAACTACTTCTTTGTTAATTTATTCTAAACATTTGCCAAATTTGCCAGTGATGCTTATTTTTTAATGAGGCTGTATAGCATTTTGCTTCGATTTAAAAAAAAAAACATAATTGCTATGGAAGATTTGCAGAGTTTTTGTTGTTGTTAATGTTGTTGCCCTGTTTTTCTCCAGCCTAACTTCCTCTTATTTTCTTGATTTTTGGCAAGTATTTCAAAGAAAGACTATTACTCATCTCTGTTTAATTCTTTTAAAAATACTTGTTCTAAGTGTTCAAATATTAAAAACACTTTTGATTCCAGTGTATTTGGAAGTGTTCATTATTGAACTTTATTATAGTGGGAAAAGATGTATATCTTAAGAACTATTGGTTATGTATAAATTTTGTGTGCATGTATGTGGTGCTAGGAATTGAACCCAGGGGTTCCCAACAACTGAGCTACATCCACAGTTCTTTTTATATTTGAGACAGGATCTTGCTAAGTTGCCCAGGCTGTCCTCAAATTTGCTATGCTCCTGCCTTGGTTTCCTGAATCACTGGGGTTACAGGTGTGCACCACTGCACCCCCAATAAAGCATTTAAAAAAAATTTAGAGTTTAATTTTGTATTTAGAGAGCAGGCTTTTCTGTGCAGATTTGAAGTAGTAATGGGAATATGGAAATAAGATTGTATACTAGATAATAGAAAGGGAGGCTAAAGCCATTCTCCTAACAGCTACATACATATCATAGTGTTTCTTAGTTGGAACCATTGTATTTGTGTTCAGTATATATACTTGTCTTTTAACAAATAAAAATATATTGAAGATACATGGTTTGCCAAGCAATACAGATCTCTACCATCTTTAGTTTATGATCTAGTTAAAGAGGCAAGCAAACAAATAAATAGGAATAAGCATTTTAGGTAGTGTATGAAGGATGAGTAGAAATTTGTGAGAGAATGCCAGTAGAGAAGATTTATTGGGATTAGCTGTGTTCTTTGGGAATTCCTGAAGTATAATTTAATATTTTCCTGAAAAGTCTTGAGCTATTAACGGATTCACACTATTAATTAGCTGTTGAGTTAGATTCTATAATATATCATTCTTATTTGAGAACCCATTGTTTAGTCATAAGAGAGCTTTGGCTGTGAGTTTCCTGGGTGAACCCTAGGAGTACAGGTGTAGCTTTTCTGGCATCTGAATGATAAAAAGCAGTAATCGATTAATACTAGATGTGTAGACATTTTATAGTGTCCTTGCTTGGTACTTAGAATGTTCTCTCAGTGGCAAGCATTCATAAATGTGTACAGGTGATACAGTATTTTCCTTATGTACAAAAGTGAGATTTACATGCTTTTAGTGGATATATTAGAGCACCACTCAGCAGGGCACTTTCAAGAGTTCCTAGTCAGTTGACTTTACTTCAGCTTGTCAGTATCTGACCTGATAGATTGTGGGGCAGAGATGGTGCAAAGCTTTCTCCACCTCTATACCAGTATCATTTCCCCATCATTTTTGGTTACCTTTAACACAGAACATATTTCTGGGATTGACGCAATGGATACAAGTACCCATTTTCTGTTATAGACTTTCTTGAATGAACTGGTAAATCTCTAAGAAGTCACACTCTTTTTAACCAGAATTCCCAAATTCTCCTGTTTGTCTGTGGTCCAGAAAAACAAGCCTTCAGTTGTCAAAGGAGAGATGAATGTAACACCTGTGCTGTGAAGTTTGTTTCTTGAATTTGAAGGTTTCTTTTTGTTGCTATTTGCCGAGCACTGTATGTACTGAGAGTCAGTAGTTTACAAGGCATAGACTCTAACTTTATTATCTCTCTTGATGATTTCTGGGGGTTTTTTTTTTTGTGTGTGCAGTATCCTTTGTTCTTATGAGTTATTATAATGAATAGCACTTGATACTGTTGGATGACTCCTTGCTTTCAGTAGGAAAATATAGAAGAAAGCATATTTTTGAAAGATCATAGTAGATTTGTATTCAGCTATTTTGTTAGGTGAATCAACAAATACTGTGCAATTCTTTTTTTTTTAATATTTTTTAGTTGTCGTTGGACACAATATCTTTATTTATTTACTTTTAATGTGGTGCTGAGGATCAAACCCAGGGCCTCACACATGCTAGGCGAGCATTCTACCGCTGAGCCACAGTCCCAGCCCCTGCAATTCTTAAAGAACTTCTTGAATGTTTTTTTGGAGCTACTTCTCCAGCTTTTGCTTTTACTTTAAAAAATCTTTATGTCTGGTGTGTAGAACCAATAAAGATGTTCCTTGACTTACAGTAGTACTATATTCATCATCATAAGTTGAAAATATATTTAATGCACCAGACTACTGAACTTCATAGTTTAGCAACACAGTACACTGTAGAGTTTTGGTTGTTTACCCTTGTGATCAGTGTGACTGACTGGGAGCTGTGGCTTGCTGCCACTGCTTAGCATTCAGTTACAGTACTATACAATACATCATTAGTCCTGGAAAAGATCAAATTTCAAAGTACAGTTTCTACTGAATGCATATGGCCAATATACCATTGTAAAGTTTCAAAATTATAAGTTGAACCATTTTAAGTTAGAAAGTATTTGTAATTGTTTTTTTTTAATCTTTATTTTTCTTTAACCACCAATATTTATAAATTTTGATTTCTATACTGCCACTTACAGAATTTTCCTTCTTGGTTTATTTCCTTAATCCTAATTTAAGATTAATTTCTTTTTTTGTGGAACTGGGGATTGAGCCCAAGGGAGCTTTATAAATGAGCTATACCCCAGACCTTTTTATTTTTTGAGACATGGTCTCCCTAAGTTGCAGGCTGGCCTTGCACTTGCAGTCTTACTACTTCAGCCTCTCTGAGTCACTGTGATTATAGGTGTGTGCCATGTGCCCAGCAATACCCATTTTCTTTAGCAAATCACAGCAAAGGCAAGAATATTTTGACCCCTTTTTCCCCCTTTGCTGTCAAGCAGAAAGTTAGTGTCTGCTTACTAGGGTGAGTGAGATTAATTTGAGGTGTAATAGCTAAGTAGCTAGTGAATGACATCCTGTCAGTTAGAATGTAGAACAGTGAGTAGAAGGGATAGATTTGAGAAATGTGTTTCATAGTGTTGATTGAAACCAACTAGGAATAGCAGAGCAAAAAGAATTGAGGTTAGGAGGAACACTCACATTTAGGAAACAAAAAGTAATAGAAAAGAAAAGGAAAGATATAGTTAGAAAGATGTATGGGACCAACATAAAAATACAAAGGCACTGAGGGTTCAAAATGTTCTGGGGCCCCAACCTGTGTTGCTATTGGGAGGTCATGGAACCTTTAGGAGGTGGGACCTACTTAGAAGATTGTCTTTCAAGGGGAATGTTGGCACTCTACTTCCTGTTTTCTCTGCTGCCATGAGGTGTACTGGCCTCTTATATCATTTTCCCATCATGATGCACTGTGCTACCACATGTCCAAAGCAATGGGGCCAAGCCACTGTGGACTACAACCTCCAAAACTGTGACTAGAGTAAACCTTTTCTCCTTATAAGCTGGTTATCTCAGATTTTGTCACAGAAAGGTGACTGATGCAGGTATGAAAAACCAATTTTAAAATATTAAGAAAATCTTATGTATAAGTCATTAAAGTGTCAAGGGTAAGAGTGAGGTCTTGGGGCTGGGACTGTAGCTCAGTGGTAGAGCACTTGCCTTGCACATGGAGGTACTAGATTCGATCCTCAGCACCACATAAAAATAAATAAATAAAGATATTGTACTCTACAACTAAAAAAAAAAAGAATGAGGTCTTTAGTTCTAAAGTGAGCAAATCAGTAGAAACTGGGATGAAGAGTTTAAGCACAGTGGGGTTATTACTATTAAATCTTGTGTTACAAAAAAACACCCCAACACTTAGTGGATTGATTTAGTCACTATTTCTTCAAGATTCTGTAATTATAATGTGTGGTTTTACTGCTGTGTTAGGAATCTAGACCTATTTAAAGCAACATTGTTGGGAATCTAACTAAATGTTCAGTAACTACAATGTCTCTGAAATTTGGAATCAAAATTATGTTGTTTTAAAAGACCTTATTTTTTGTATTTGCTTATATCAGTAGAGTGAATATTCCCATCATGATTGATTTTAAGCTATCAACATATAGTAACTAATTGAACACAAAGTTTGATAGGATGGGTGGTACAGTCCACTCTTACCAGCTAGTATGAGGTGGACTAAGGCTCTAATAGATGTCTGTAAAATATCATTTGTTCTTATCTCTTGGTTTGAAAAAGAATTTGAGGAAGGTTGGCAAAATAAAACACTTTATAAAACAAATAAAAAGATGAAAGAGTTTATTTTAAAGGGAAATAAGGATAGGAAATAAAAGTAAGAATAAAGTATATGTCTACCATAATGCTCTAGACAGTTGCTGTACATAAACTAAGAGTTTAACCATAGCAAATAGAAAAGTAATAGTAATAGTGTCCATTGTATATCTAACATAAAAGCAGATCAGCTGTTTAGGATTAACAAAAACTTGCCTCAAGCTAGAGAGATCAGTTAATGAGAAAAGGCTACTGTATCTTCCATATCATTATTGAAAATATAGGATGGCATTATTTCCATGATATTTCTTGAAACATAGTTCAAGGCAGGTTACTGACAATGTCAAACAGTTTTGGAAAAGGGCATTTTTAAGAAAGATTTTAAATAAATGCTAAAAAGTTTGCCCTTATTGGAGAATTATCTGGGCTTCCTAATTGGTATATTTAGGCTGTTTAGAAAGTTTATTCTATCTGCATCATTAAAAGTTTGCGGGCAAGAAAACTAACAAATGTTTCAGGATTTATAGCTATGGATTTGTTTTTAAATAAAAACCATGTATAAGATAATTTGCTTAAGGAGAATCAGCAAAATTTAGTAATAGGCTGTTTGTTGAAAGCAAATCAGAATGGCTGTTTGAATTTTTCCCCAGTATTTTTCTTGATTTCTAGTGTTGATTCATTTTTCACTCCTGATTTGGTGTATGTGTCTCATTCTGTACAAGTTTTTTGAATTTGAACTTTATGGGTGAGATTAGGTACTTGTAACAATGAATAGAATTGTTCCTTTTCTTCTCTTGATGTCTTATCTTTGATCCTTTTCTCATTCCTTTCTGCCCATGCTGTCCTTGACTGGCCTCATCTTAATACTTCCAGTGAGCTTCTGGCCTATATGGGGGCCGTTTAAATCTTTTCCCTATATTCTCTGATGGTTCTGTAACAGACTCTGAAATAATATGAGGGCAGGCAGATCCACAGGAGAAAAGAAATAGAAATTTATTACATGTGTATGTAATATATAAGACTCAAAAGAATGACTAAATGGTTGAAGTATGTGGCTTTGGAATAGAAGCTTGGGGTTTCAGGTGGGAAGGTGTCAATAAGCTAAAGGATGGTGAGGAGAGGAATGCACTGAAAAGAAAAGGTTTTCTTGCTATGCAGATAAAATCTCAGGTAATGTCTGAGTTGTTCTCAAAAGAGTAAGTGACAGCCTGAAAGCATCTGGTTCAGGTGCTGAACTTTAGTCTCTCTTCCTGATGTGATTTTCCTGATACTATTTGATTCATTTTTAGGCAGATTTAAAGGACCTCTTTTTGCATCTACTGTTTGTTATTTTAGATGTACATTTCTTTTACAAAAGGACAGTTTTTAAGAGCTATTCCTGTGTCTGTTGTTTCCTTGAATAGTGATCTCTGTATGCCAAAGAAGTGTACCTTGTATGGCATGTTTGGTCTCCCATACCCTAAACAAAGATTTTTTCCGTTCTGTTATGATTCATCTTCAGAGGTGGTTGCTCAGGCAACCCAGCTTGAAAGCAGGGTAGGAAAGGGTAGCTAGTGAACACTCAGAAGTTCCTGTTCTTGTTGTTCCTACTTCTGGGTTCTTATCTTTCCATCTGGGCACAGAGGTGCTGGTGTTAATTCCTGCCTGCCCACCTTTCCCTAGAGCCTGTGCGTGTTGGTGCCTCCTACAAACGGCAGAATGAAGGAAAGCCAGAAAGAGGTGAGTTTTGAGCTAGATTCTGATTTGGGATTTTGAAGGGGTGGGAGGCTTGAATAGGTAGAGGTAATGGAAATGGGAAAAATATATAACTGCTCCAAATTAGTCCGTTATTGTCATTAAAGTTAGATAGCACTGCAGCAGTAGGATTTGGTAGGATATGTGGGTTCATTGTATGGGCTAGCCATTCCTGACCAGGAATATAACCATCCATGGGAGGCTTAGATCTATAGAATAGAGAGGCCCTTGGCAGGTAGGATCAAGGAATTTCTGTTTACCTTTTCTGTGCTTTTTCTGCTGCCATCATCATTTTCTTTTTCCTTTGCTTCTCGCCTGTCCCTCCCATTTATGTAAACAGGTGTAAAGGAATGTATGTAGATATATGATAAACTGCCTGCCTTGCCTGTTAGTGTTTCTTTGCTTCTGCACACTGAGGTTGGTTGACATCAGCCTAGATTAACTTTTATGCAGCTTAAATCAGGAAAGGTCCTAAGACTGACATAGGACCATACCTGACATATCTGCAGTACTGATGCCCTGTTTATAAAGGAATTGCTAAATAAGAGATTAACAGCTGCTTGTGACAGATTCTTTGTTTTTTGTTTTTCTTTTTCTTCTGTGTCTAGCACATGCATGTTAGAATTGAGCTTGCAATTATGCTTTTAGTTAGTATAGCCTGCTGTGCTGATTGGTCCAGCACCTCATCTTTCAAGGGCTTGCTTATTTGAGTAGAATGGAGAAGTCAATGCGTGCTAAAGGTAGAAAATAAGTTTCACCTTTTTACCTAATTTTGAATGCCTAATCTTGTCTTTAAGACTTTGAGTTAAGTAGGCTGTGGCTATTCAGAAAGGAATGAGCTGTGATACTTGTTCCTTTAGGAAATTTTGGTATAGTGGGATAGACTGATATTATCTCAGTATGATGTAGAGTTTGCCACATGCAATGGGATACAATAAAGAATAACTAAATAAATCATACTCTTGGCTTTGGTGCTGTAATGATGGTTTGTATCATGTTTCTTTTGATTTCTAAGGCATACCGTAAATTTTTACCCTGCTCAGTATGAAAACCTTTTATGGTACCAGGGTTGTGGTACCCTAAATTCTACGTTATGTCTTTTTAAAAACTCTTGGAGCTTCAAAATTGGAATACTCAGCCTAGAGCCAGGAGTTCTCAACCTCAACATTATTGACATTTGAGTGTAGATGATTCTTTTTTATGAGGGTGTCTCCCCAACAGGTATTTTTAGTAGCACCTCTGGCCTCTACTTAGTATGCCTGTGGCATTCTCTTACTGTGACAATCAAAAATGTCTTCACATATTGCTCAGTATGTGGGGTGGGAGGTACAAAACTGTCCCTGATTGAAGGTCATGGGAACAGAGAAACTTCTTGGGTCTTCAGGACATTGGAAAGGGGTGTTATTCACCACTGCCCTAGGTGCTTGGAAACCTTTGAGTTTCTAGGCCTTTGCTTAGCAATCTTGGCTGTTGTGAGGAAGAGCTGGAAGAGGCGTTTTGACCAGAACTGGCTTTGCCTCAGTTTCAAGGTCGTTTTGCCTTTGCTTTTGCTTTTGACTTGCTCTTCTGGCCTTAACCCACTCTCCAGTCTCAATCAACTCTGTGTGACTTAAAAGTTGATGCCACTTTCTTCTTTTCTCCATATTATTAATTGTTTGTTTGTTTTCCCCCACTCCAGCAACTAAGGGCAGAGAGTTTGACAATTTAGTGAAATGTTTTTCTATCAATAACATTATTGTTACCAATTTTAAAGATTATATTTAAACATACTTTTTGGTTGTTGTTGAACCTACTAAAGTAATATTGCTTAAATGTACTTCCTGGCTTAAGTTTCTATAAAACATGGTGTATGTGTACAGCACTTAAGTATCTGAAGTGACTTAAGATAGGGTTAGTGGCTTTAGACTTATTTCATGCCATCTAACAAATATTTGGGAATTCATTCATGCCAGGCTCTGGATTAGTACTCTGAATTATAGTTTTCTAATTTTACTTTTTAAACTGTACAAACATTTCAGGAGTATCTAAATTTCCTATACGTAGCTCTCCTTGAGCTAGCCTTTGATTAGCTCTATTAGTATCTATATAATAACTACAATAACTATTTGCCTGTTTATATTGTGATATGTTAAATATTAACATGTAGTCGCAGGGAAAAGGAAGCATTCATGATTTAAAATTGTGTTTTGCCTTTCCTCAGGCATTGTCTTCTCTGTAGCCTCCAGGTTTGATAACTGATATTGGTGTGGCCTAGATTGCCATATATATCATTTGGTTCTGAGTTACTTTAAATATTTGATCTTGTCAGTCTCTGAGAAAGGTAGTTTTAGATATTAATGTAATTAATTTAATAATGTGACATAACATTTCAGTACTAAAATAACTCTATGATCCTCTCCCATTAATTCAGTTACAAAATCACTTGAGAACAAATGAACTAGAAAAATTTTATATTTTTTTGTTTAGGTAAAGAAAGACCAGTCCAGTCTTTGAAAACATCAAGAGATACTTCACCCTCAAGTTCATCAGCAGTTCCTTCATCAAAGGTTTGTTATTTTCCTAAAATGAGTTTAAAAAAGAATGATAAAGTCAATAAGATTGGCTAGTACAGATGCTCTTAGCATGTATAATCATACCTATGAGGCTGATTTGCTGCATTTAAATAGTTGAATTTTAAGTAACCACAATTTTAAAATAGGAGAGTAAATGAACAATTTTCTTGTAGAATTTTTTCCATAGGTTGTGCTAAAATTAATATTTACTGCTACAGCCCTTGTTTATCTTGACTGTAATCAGGTGGGAATAAATATTCAGATGGGGCATAGTTGTAGATTTTTGCTTTTGGGGGGGAGTTGGGGGTATAGGTAAAGACTTAACATTTATTTATAATTAGTCAATTTGGGGTATTCGTGGTTTTTCTTATTAATTCATACAGAAATTCTCTGATATTGGTAGGTATAAATTTCCATTCTACAGCAGATTGGAGGTTCAGAGGTTAAATAATTTTCTTAAGGGATAGCTACTTTTATTATTATTATTAGTTGTTCAAAACATTACAAAGCTCTTGACATCATATTTCATACATTTGATTCAAGTGGATTATGAACTCCCATTTTTAACCCATATACAGATTGCAGAATCACATCAGTTACACATCCACGTTTTTACATACTGCCATACTTTTTTTTTCTTTTAACTATCACTTTCCAGCATCTCCAAACATGTTGAAAAGACAGACCCTATGTTTTTTATCCCCAAAATTTAATATTTGAGAAATTGCTGTTTCCATCTGTTCTCTTTCTTTACAATTTTCACACTCTTTCTCTTTCCCACAATTGTTGCTTCTTATATTCTCTTCTTCACTTCTTTTTGTTCTTCTCCCTTTATTATTTTTGACTTTTCAGGATTACTTGTAAGTCTGTGCTGGGTATTCAAGGGGCAGCTTCTTCTCTGCCTCAGAGGGGAAAAGTTTGTGACAACTTGTATCATTGGAACTTTCTCAAAGTCAGAGGGTTCTAGAGTAATAGGTTGCTTTTTAATGTTATGGTGCTGGATTGAACCCAAGGCTTCATGTATGCTAGGCAAGTGGTCTACCACTAAACTATGTCCCCAACCCTGGAATGCCAAGTTTTAAATAGCAAAAATTGATAAGATTTTTTGGTTCTGTCTTAAACACATTAAGAGTGCTTTACCCACATGAAAGACTGACTTATTTTTCTTGTCAGTTAATAAAGAAAAGATAGAACCTGCCCAAGTCAAGTCACCACAAAAATTTAAATTATTACATATGAAGTTTTAATTTCTCCCCAAATACACAGCTATCTAAAAATAAGTTATAGGGCTGGAGTTGTAGCTCAGTGGTAGAGCGCTCGCCTAGCACGAGCGAGGCGCTGGGTTCGATCCTCAGCATCACATAAAAATAAATAAATAAAATAAAGGTATTGTGTCCAACTACAACTAAAAAAAGAATATTAAAAAAATAAAAATAAGTTTTAAAGTAGGGCTTTGCACTGCATGTTAAAACATATTTAATGTGAAACAACAACGATGAATTTTTTGCCATTTTTGTCATATTTCATGTAGATGGTTGCACTTTTGTTATAGACTGTAAAATCTTAAAATGGAAAAAATATCAAAATTTTAGATGTATAATTATTTTACATATTAGGAAAGTGTAGCTTCGTGTGTTCCTTGCCAAGGGCTACAGGGTAGATATCAAAAGCTTTGGTTCATAGATCTGATTTGGTAGAGGACTTTTTCTTATAAACATTGTTGCCCTTAAATAGGAATACGTTTTCAGAAAGTTTATTTTTTGCTATTAGAAGGTAGTTCCAATAGCTTTTCAAGTGCACACATTTAATAACAGATTAGTAGTTTAAGTTATAGTAGGTTTTTACTTTGTTTTCTGTTGAGAGCCCATATGAACATTTGTGTTTTGCTTTATAACTCCCTCTTAAAAAGATACTCCCCCAAAAAATTAAATATAAATTTTTTTCTTGGATGTATTTGTGTGTGTTTTCTTGTACCTTTTAAAAAATCTTATATTACTAAGTAGTAATAAAGATATTGCTTTTTATAATATCTTTTAAACCTTCCAAATGGGCAGGGTGTTGGAGCCAGATATTTAGGCTTGCTTCTGGCTATGGAATTTACTTGGAAGGGAAGTTTCAAATTTTCTCTTTTCCCTCTGAAGGTTTGGTAATTTTAGTCTATGAAATGAACTGACTGTAAACAGAGTCATAGAAGACAAACTAAAAATTTATTATGTGTCTAAGCATGTGAGCCACACAGAAAGTATGAGATCAAGGAAAGGATCATATGATTGAAGTTTATATAATATCTTGTGGTGCACAAGGGAATAAAGTTTAGAGGTCCTGAACCAGGGGAGGTAGTAACAGAAGCCATGGGGGAGGTTCAGGAGAAGTACTGTGTGGGATAAAACTTATCTTATTATGCAGACACAGTTTCCTAGGCAGCAGCCCTCTGAGGACCACCTGTGGTAATCTTTCTAGCCCAGGTGTCAGGCTTGAAATCTCATTTTTCTTTGAAAAACCTGTCCAAGGCAGATATGGGGATCTCAAAGAAAAAGACCATTTACACCTTCTGCTTCTTTTACTCATGTAGATAAATATAAATTTCTTTTTGTAAAAGGACAGTTTTTTAAAGTCATACATGTGTCTGTAGAGATCTTCACTTTTTCTGAATAATCAACTCAAAATATGTCACAAGGAGATATCTTTGGAGCAGGATACTTTACTGTCCCACAACTCCATGTATATATAAATCATTGTAAATATTACCAGTGACCAGTTAGTAGTTTGGTGAGTTTAATTAGGAAGAAAGTCAAGTGGATTTTTTTTTTTCCAGTATTAATTAGTGACTTTGACTTCAGTTTCCTGGTTTTCAAGCTGAGGTGTCAAGCTTGTAACACCTTTATGGAATTTTTATTTAATTGAAATATTTTGTATATAGAATGATTTTTTAAAAGCACTATGTTAATAGTGATGCACCATAAGATGGATTTTTTTTTTTTTAAGGAAAAAAAAAGGACTGGCATTGGGAGTAGAGATGTATTTGGGATCAATAATGTAACTTAGAAAAAATATAGGGACAAAATGAGGGCTGTCAAGGCATGATTGATGAAATGGAAATAAGGAAATGGTAAGGTTTTATGATAAGGTTTTCTATAAGGAAATGGAATCAGCAAGTTACTACAAGGGCCCTAGAGAAGGGTTTTTCTTATTTGTGCTTTACTATTTTACATCTCATTCTATAGCATATGCTTTTTAATGATATTATGGGAATAATTATGTGATCCAGTAGACGTTTTATTTTGTTTTTATGTTTCCCCCATGAACTCATTGGTCTTCTTCAAATATGTTTAGGTGTAATAGATTTATATATCAATGAATACAGAAAAGAAACAAAAAAATATCAAGCCTATCCTAGATGTTTTCAGGTCTGTTAACCTCTCTTCATTTTCATAACTACTTTATAAGGTATTACTAATGTCTGTGTTGTGAATGAAAAAACCAAGCCACGATTGAAGCATTATTAATTATGTGTATAAAGCCATCTTCCTAGCAATTGATTAAATTGCATTTCACAACTGTCTGCCTGTGACTCCAAAGCCCATAATTTGTTCATACTGTAATTGGTTAGAGGAAGAAATAGTAGTAGCCTCAATGAAATTTAAGTTTTAAAACTGTATAAGGAGTAGGATTTATATGATTTGTTATAAATTATAAAGATGACACATCTGGACTTTTCCTACTGCATTACTTAGGAACTTGCTTTAATGAAATTTTGACATCATTTATTTCATTGACTATAAAGATAAAACACTGAAATTAGTTTATAATGTCTTTTATATTTTATATACAATTAGTATATGAGTTAAATTGTGTCTTTTGCTTTGTTCCCTAGATGAATTTCTGAAGTTTTATATAGATTAAATTGCCAGTTAGATCTAATCCATATGTCTCAAAGAAAATTGCTATTTAAAGGAATCCTGTTTTGAGTATTTTTGAAGGAGCCGAAAAAGAATGTACCAGTTATCCATATAAATTTGAAGGTTTATGTGATTTTAAGTGTAAGTGGGGTGTGCTTCTTGACATATTTGAAGTTTAAAAGCCCTTGAGTATTGTAACAAAAAATGTTCTTTTATTTTTACTAGGTGTTAGACAAACCCAGTAGGCTAACTGAAAAGGAACTAGCTGAGGCTGCAAGCAAATGGGCTGCTGAGAAGCTTGAGAAATCAGATGAAAGTAACTTGCCTGAAATTTCTGAGTTTGAGGTATGGTGTAATTCCTCGTGTATATTTCATGTCTGAAGGTTTTTTTCCTGGACTTTTAAGTTATGGGTGGGAAATATCTGATATCTTCTAGAACTTCAAATATATTTGAAGAAAAATACCCTCAAGGATTATTAAAATTAACCACACAAGAGATAACAGTCTAAATGTGAATGACTCTGTATGCAGTAATCACACTGTGCCTGAATGTCTCTGATACTTTAATAGTATAAGAATTACATAAATATGGAGTATAAAAAATGGATTATTTATGTGGACTTTGCTTTTAAAAGTATCTCAGGAAATCATACTCAACCACTAGTCATAAACCAATGAATTCAGAACACAGAACTAATTTGACTTGGATTGTGGGCTGTATTTATATTGCACATTATATTTTATGTAAATTATTTCATAAGTATCTCAAGAATGAAATTAAACATTTTTGGGCTTCCTGAGACCTTTGATGATTATTGATTACAATAAACAAAATGAGGTCGGGTGTGGTGGTACACGCCTGTAATCCCAGCAGTTTAGGATGCTGAGGTAGGAGGAGCATCCTGAGTTCAAAACTAGCCTCAGCAAAAGCAAGGTGCTAAGCAACTCAGTGAGACCCTGTCTCTAAATAAAATACAGCATAGGGCTGGGAATGTGGCTCAGTGGTCGTGTGCCCCTCAGTTCAATCCTTGATTCCCCCCCCCCCCCCCCCCCCCCGCCAAAAAAAAAAAAAAAAAAACCTCATAAAAACAAACCCAGAAAAACCAAAAAAGACATTTCTGGGTCTATAGAAAGTTATTTCTGAAATGTCTGCATTAACTGAAAAATTTATATATAATGAATAACATCTCTAAAAGGATTTCGTGGGCTAAATTAAGTTTTCAGATTCAAGATTTGATGCAAGAAGAATTAATCTTGACATGATAGACAATGTAAAAATTTCTGTAACATGACAAGTTATTTATATTTGAAGAATTCTGGCCTTGGGATATAGTTTGGGATGATTTTTGTGGAAGGTTTTTTGATAAAAGGGATTAAGCATAGGAATTCTATATAGCAATAATATACTTTCCTACATCTTCATGGATTATAAAAAGGTCCTTTCCAAAGTAACTAATGTACACTGCTCATAAAAAGAACAAACCCTGTCAGAATTTACATAGAGCATTTCTTTTTGAAAATGCTGATCTATCATTTAGATAGTAATTGTCCTTAAATAGGTCAAGGTTTCCTTGTTATTGTAGCCAGAATAATATTTTTTTCATATTCTTCAGTAAATGTATTAAAAACATCAAGCTATCCTGTAGCACTTTCCTAGCATTATTGAAAAACATGAATAACACAGTAATACATTAATAGTGTTATTTTAAATAGTTTTAATTATCTTAATAATTTAGAATAATGGTTGTTATATTAACAATAGATAGGTGTGCTTCAAAATTGTTATTTTAGAGTAAGACCAATTTTTTTGTTGGTTTAATAGTTTATTGTGTTAATACATATTTAGATCTTATTAATATATAGACAAGGCTTTACTTTTATATGAATAATATTAGTATTATTCTATTATTCATCTTCTCCAACTCCCCATCATTTTTTAATTTCTTAACTTCTTAAAAAATGTTATTGTCCCCCCTTCTCAGATTTTAAATGATGTACATATATTCTCTCATTGACCCTTAAATAGTCAGTGACATTGGAGTCTAGAAAGACTTTTTGTTTGTGTGGGGGGGTGAGGGTACTTGGGATTGAATCCAGGGGTGCTTTACCACTAAGCTACATCCTAAGCCTTTTATTTTTAATTTTGAGACAGTAGCTTGGTAACTGCTTAGAGTCTCATTAGGTTGCCTAGGGTGGCCTCAAACTTGGTGTCCTCCCAAATTGCTGAGATTACAAACATATGCCACTGTGCCCTGCTATAAAAACTTTTAACCTTCTCCCCTCACTTTAAAATTTGACCACTGTTGACTAGATTTTTGGATTAATGCAAAATAAATGACCCTAAAAATCTGGAAGTGGGGGGTCATCACTCAGACATGATCTTTTATTGGATCAAAGTCAAGAAAGATGTGAGAGTAAGACTAAGATTACGTAAGTATGTTTGCTACTTGGTACATCATTAATGCTGAACAGTAACATCAATTTTATACCATTGTCTAAAATGTTTTCCACATCAGATTGATATTTTTTCATATTGGAAATTAAGTAGTTGGGAATTTTTTTGTCTTTCTAAGAAATTTAGCACCACTGTATCTTATTAATATTTTTTTCTCAGATAATAGATAATATTTGTTCATGGGCTCTTAAATAGTGATCTGTGCTTTTAGGGATTCGTGCTTTTGGGGAATAGGATTTTTTTGGGGGAAGGTATTGGGAATTGAACTCAGGGGTGATTAACTACTGAATCACATTCCTAGCCCTTTTTATGGGCTTTGTACATACTATGCAAATACTTTAACACTGAGCTCTACCTCAGCCTTGGAAGTGCTGCATTTAAAAGAGGTCGATTGGTTTTCATATTTCAGCTGGGTTCAGAGATTTTAATATATTAATATGCTTATCATTGGTCTTTGAAGGAAGGATAAATAACAAAGTTTGCCTAACTTACCAAACTTTTAGTGTTTTTCCCTTATGAGTATTTTAGAATTAAATATTTCAAGGCACACATTTTCAGAGGAAAATACTATACTGGCTTTAAATTCACTCTTCATTCTGCATCTGCTTGTGTCAATTGCTGAACTACAGTAGCCATTAAAGAGGTTGCATTCAAATTTTGTAGAGATGTAACTTAGCATCCTTTTAGGTAGAGGTGAAAGTTTTGCTTGTGGCCATCAGAATGAAAGGCAAATTATTTGAAGGTTTTTGAACATTCTAGTAGAGCATGTCTCTTCCTGCTGTAGAAGAAAATTTTAACATTTAAATGTGAAAATATTGTGGGTTTTTTTCACATATCGAATGTAGTTTTCTGCTTCAGTGTCTCCACTTATTCTGTTCCAGCCTAGAATGCATGACTTCTATGACTCTTTCAAATTTGTGTTCATTCAGTGGACTCAATAATGTTCAGTACAGTAAGACTCGAGATTTTTCTTGATTCTGCTTCCCTACCTACTGTAAAATTTTATGACTGTTTCATTGGTGACCTTTGTAAATTTCAAAATTTTTTTCTTGTTTGGTGCCTCTGTTTTACACACACACAGAGTACATATATATACACATGTAATGTATTTCAGGCTCTAGCCATATTTTTGCAACAGTGCCTTGAACAATATATCTCTAAGTTTATTTTTTAGTGTCAAGTTTCCTTCCTTCCTCCCTCCCTCCCTCTATTTGTGGTACTGTGAATTGAACTCTCAGGGGTGCTCTATCACTGAACTACATCCCCAGCGCTAGAATGCTTGAATGCTGCATTCTCTGGAGGGGAAGAAGGCTGTTGGGCACGTAGTAGAAGAGCAAAAGAGAACAAGATCATTCCTTAAAGTCTCCTCTTTAAAAGCATTAAACCCACCTAATCACTAATTAAAGTTCTCAACTTCCAAAACAGTTACCATGCCAGATTTCAACATGATGGGCTAGGGAGGAGGATCCCAGGCTGGAGGCCAGCCTGGGCAACTTAGTGAGACCCTATCTCAAAATAAAAAATAAAAAGGACTGAGGATGTAACTCAGTGGTAGAGCACTCCTGAGTTCAATCCCCTGTACTGGGGGAAAAAAAATTTTTTATGATTTTTTTTTCCCATGGATAGTATCCTTCTGTGGATCACCTGTGCATGTATATGAAATGTATACATCCCCTTACTTAATTCTTTCTCCTTTTTTGACACAGTTGACAGTATATTGATAGGCAACGATTTCTAGACTATGCTAGGATTATTTATTCATTGTAGAGTTGTTGCTTTAAAATATAAGTAATTATTATTGCTTTGTGGGATTTTCTAATGATATCAATAAGTCCTTAGTTATAAGAGTCAGCTGTTTTAACTTCTGAAGGTGGATCCCTTTTCTGTGTTCTATTTTGTCATATTTCTTTATGTGTGCACATACCTCTCACTTTCAATTGAACTTTTTCTCCTTCAGTGTTCCATAAATAGATTGCTTAAAGAATAGCCATGGGGAGAAAATCTTTTATCTGTATCTTAATATAGAGTGAAATAATTTTAGAATGGAATTAAGCCTAGAGGCTTTATCTTACCTAAAATTTTAAAAGTGTCATTCATTTTTTCTTTAATCCTCTTCACATATGCTCATTATGTGTAATGAAATTGACAGTTTTCTTCTCTTTAAATAAGTTAAATGTATAACTTTCTGTTAATATAATGTACCACTTAGTTCTTATATACAACCATCTGAAATGCTCTTAAGTCTTTTAAAAAAAATAAAGATTTGCAAAATTCTTTTTTAAAGGCTGGATCCACCGCACCATTATTCATTGACCAGCCAGAAGAACCTGAGTCAAATACAACAGATGGCACAGAATTATTTGAAGACAGTCAACTAACCAGTCGATCTAAAGCAATAGCATCAAAAACCAAAGAGATTGAACAGGTAGGAACACAATCTTCTTCATAATCGTTGGTCCATATACTTTTCAGATATAAATTTTTACTGATACTTATTTGTTTTTTCTACTTGCCATTCTGAAATTCTATTTAGTTTTTAAATTGTTTGATTTCATAGTCATTTTAACCAATGTGATTCACCTACCTTCCTTTCTCTCTCTCTCTTTCTTTCTTTCCCCCCTTCCCCCTCTCTCCTTCTTTCTTTGTAGTACTAAGGATTGAACCCAATGCCTCACACATGCTAGGCAAGCACTCTACCACTGAGCTACAGACCCAGCCCATCCTTCTTTATTTTTAAATAAGAAACAAACTTTTTTCTTTTTTAAAAAAACATTGTCTAGTTAATATGAAGCAATTAAAAAAACTTTTAAACTTAAAACTTAATAGGGATAGAATAAAGGATGTTAAATGCACCAAAGTGTTAGCAAATGTTATTTTTTAATATTTGAATTATAGATATTTCTTATGTTTTTCTTAATTATCTTCCAAAAATTGAAAAAATACAGTATTAAATCTCATTTTTAGAGATGTTATTCTGAAAAATGAGGTCTTTGAATCTGAAATGATTATCTTTCTCATTAGGGTATAAATATGAAATATTATTTAGCTCATTAGGGTATTATCATTTTATGAGGATTAAATGAAGTAAAAAATGTGAAAGGGTTTTATGAAATATTTTGTATAGGTGCTTCTTTTTGATGTTGTTACTCTTCAGTATTTTGAATAAATGTCATCACATTGGTAGATACTCTTCTAAAAACTATTTGAAATTAAGAACAAAATAAGCCTTTCTCAAGGTATTGTCCAGTTTTCACATCAATTAAAATCTCCTTCCCTTGGTTGGGTAGGGGAAAATCTCAATTAAATCCTAAATGTGATTGTGTTAATGCCACCATGAAAGGCAGATCAGTAGTTTTAAAATAATGGTGATCAGCAACATCAAGTCTTTAGAGAAATGTAAAAAAAAAAAAAAAAATGGAGAATGAGATAACCTCCTTTAATTTGGTGATGTGAAAATGATTGATGTCTCTCAAATCAATTAAGAACATTAATAAAAGATTTTTTGATCACTATGTCTTCAACACAAATATGAATGTGTTTATCTTATGTATAATTGCTATCACTTTGTCTTTTTTTTAAGATTGCTTTTTCTTTTAATTTTTTTTTAGTTGTAGATAGACACAATATCTTTATTTTATTTATTTTTATGTGGTGCTGAGGATTGAACCCAGTGCATCACACATGATAGGCAAGCACTCTACCACTGAGCCACAACCCCAGACCCCTTTGTATTTTTACTTTCACTTTGTTTTTAGCTTTTTATTTTTAAAGTTCCTTGATATTTTTCCACCAGTGCTGGAATTGAACCCAGGAGTGCTTTACCACTGAGCTACATACCCAACCTTTTGAAATTTTTTATTTAGAGACAGGGTTTCATTCACAAAATTGCCCAGGTTGGCCTTGAATTTGTGATCTTTCTGCTTTGCCTCCTGATTAGCTGGGATTATAGATAGGATCCTTGATATATGTTTTTATTTCCTTGTCTGTCCTTACCATAATGGACACTGTGAGAACAAGTACTTTGTTTTGCTTAGTGCTTTATCTGCATCACCTAGAGAAATTATTGGTATCCTAAGATATATTTTTGGATGAATGATGGATGAAGTCATACACCTGAAACTGACTAGTCTCTGAGTCAGTTGAGATCAGAGATGATGATGTCTCAACCTGGTCACCTGTCAACACTTAGGCCCAGTAGTTACTAGTAAGTGCTTAATAAATGTTGAACAAATGAATGATTTAATGCTGTTTCTCTTTTTCACCTAAATTTCAGGTGGAATTCTTAAGAATATAACTGGTAGAAACACTCAACTGAAATAACAAAGAAGGAGTATTTTGGGTTGTCATTTATTAATATTCTGCCATCTCTTCTTAGTATTTTTCACAGTTGATCTCTTGAGAAACTGGGTTACCATTCAGGTATATGGGGTAGCTTAGCAGTACCCACATAAAATTATATGGCATGGAGTCAATTTTTATGGTACCCTATAGAAACCTATATATGTTTGACGTAATAATAAGACTATATCTGTTTTTATCTGTTCAAGCACATGAAATATCTGATGCTAAAACATATTGAGAATTACTACAGCAAGAGATGACCTAAGAAAGGATAATAAATCTAAAAGGGAGTTGTTGTATTTTAATATTATTAAGAGAATTAAAATAATTATTAAAGTACTATAAACTAGAAGACTTAATGGAAGTTCTGTTTTTGCTAGATTACTTTGGTTATTTTACAAACTCATAGCTAGAACTTAACAATAATTTTTGAAAATGAAGTAGTTTTAAGAGCTTTTTTTTTTTTTAATTTTGACTTGAATTTTACACATTTTATTTTTAGAAATTAAATACCAAATGGGTAGGAAAATTATAAAGGTCTGAGAAAGCTAAGTAATGGATTACACAGGTGTTTGGTAATTATTCTTCTTTTTCCATATACATGAAATCTTTTAAAAAAATTTTAAAAGAATAGTACCACAATAAATCTATATAGATGAAACCAACAAATCAAGTTGTAATAACCAAAGTACCTTATCTATTTTATCAAATGTAATATGTTCTGGTAAATTTTGAAGATGAACTACAATATTTAGTTTTTTTTGCAGTTTTTATAAAGTAGGTCCTTCAGCTATTGAATCCCAAGAAAGTCATTAATTTTATGGCAGTTATTTGAGTATAAATAAACTAAATCTCCTGGCCAAAGTTTAATTTATTCTAAATGTGCATAGATGGAGCAGTTCCTTGATGTTTAAGGGTCCCCAATACGGGAGGGAACCCAGCGGCAAGCCACCCTGAGCTGCATCCCTAATCCTTTTTATTTGGAGTCAGGGTCTTGTTAAGTTGCAGAGGCTGACGGTGAACTTTGGGTCTTCCTACCTCAGCTTTCCAACTAGCTTATAACATTCTTCAAATCATAGAGAGGTATCTTTTGTAGGGGGGAAAGTCTTATCTCTTTGTGTTTTTAAAATTTGTTTTGTGTATAGAAACTAAAACAAAACAAAACAAAACAAAAAGTACTATGAGTTCATTTTTAAAATCTCTGGCCAGGCATGGTGGCGCACACCTCTAATCCCAGCAGCTCAGGAGGCTGAGGCAGGAGGATCTGAGTTCAGATCCAAGCACAGCAACGTAGAGAGGCACTTAGCAACTCATTGAGATCCTGTCTCTAAAAAAAAAGTGTTGGGCATGTGGCTCAGTGGTTGAGCACTCCTAGGTTCAATCCCTGGTATCAAAACAAAACAAAAAAAACCTCTCTGGCTTTTTCAGAACACAATCCTAAGGTGTGTGTGTGTGTGTGTGTGTGTGTGTGTGTGTGTGTTTTTAATTTGTGGGGCATGGGGGGACGGTACTGGGGATTGACCTTGGGATACAAGACCACTGAGCCACATCCCCAGCTCTATTTTGTATTTTATTTAAAGATAGGGTCTCACTGAGTTGCTTAGCACCTTGCCTTTTGCTGAGGCTGGCTTTGAACTCACAATCCTTCTGTCTCAGCCTTCTGAGCTGCTGGGATTACAGGCATGTGCTACCATGACTGGCAATATTGATATTTTATGAAAATGATTGTTTTCCATCCACTGAAAAGGGATTGATTATCTATTTAGCTGACAATTTATAGTTAAATATATACAGGAACATTTTCAATGGGATACCATTCTTTTCTTAAATATACAGAAATAAAGAGTAGTCAGGTACACTTGGTGAAGAGAATTGAGTATTTTTGTTTTCTATTACTTCAAAGACTAAAACTGAATATATATGTGTTTTAGTAAAGTCATTATCTTTTATAGTCATAGATATGTTAGGCTCGTGTAAAAATAAAATATTTTATAGCTTAGCTATCTAGAAATCTCTTAACTCCAGTTATCTAAGGAAAATGAAGTTAATTCAGAAGTCTTTTTTTTTTTTAAGGCTTTGTCTTTTTATTTATTTATTTTTAACCACCTTGTGTTTTTCTGGGATTTCTCTATAAAGATTTTTAAATTCTCTTTCCACATTTTTTTCATTGATGCATAATCGTTGTATATATTGATGGAATTTGTTGTTACATATTTGAACATACACACAATATAACAGTATGATTATAATTTGGCCAATATCACTCTCTAGCACTTTCCCAACCAACTCCCATCCCTGATCCTTTTCCTCTACTAATCTCCCTTTGATTTTCATGAGATCCAACCCCCCTTTTCTTTTTCCTCTTTAGCTTCCCCATATGAGAGAAAACATTCATCCCTTGAACTTCTGAGTTTGGCTTATTTTGTGTAACATAATGGTGTCAAGTTCCATCCATTTTCCTACAAATGATACAATTTCATTTTTCTTTATGGTTGAATAAAACTCTTTTGAATGTATAAACCATAGTTTCTTCATCCATTCATCCATTGATGAACACGTAGGCTGGTTCCATAGTTTGGCTGTTGTGAAATTCAGAAGTAATTTTATTGCCTATCTAGTCATTAGCTGATAGGCTGATAAAATTCTACCATAAGTCTAGATTAATATACTTAATAATAATTTTTATTTTATTTTGAACTTTATACTCTTAACAATATATGGGCTGATTATTAGCTTTTCTTCAAAAGTTGGACTGAAAAATGTAAGGCCCCTTTCTGTTCTAAGTCATATTTAAAATTAAAAGCTAGGCTAGGCGTAGTAGCACACTCTTGTAATCCCAGTGGCTCAGGAGGCTGAGACAGGAGGATCAAGAGTTCAAAGCCAACCTTAGCAAAAGTGAGATGCTGTGAGACCCTGTCTCTAAAGAAAATGCAAAATAGGGCTAGGGATGTGACTCAGTGGTCCAGTGTCCCTGAGTTCATTCCTTGGTACCAAAAATAGATAAATAGATAAATAAATAAATAAATGAAGTTAAAAGCTAAATATTGCTTCTTTTGTACACACTGTTTATTTTTGTTATTATTG